TTTCCTCATTCTTGGTTCCAGTGTTTGTCTGTGCATCCAGTCAAGGATGGAGATTTTCACTGGCCCCATTTTTGTTGTTGATGTATTTATAAAAACACTTTCTATTACCTTTCACAGCAGTGGCCAGATTGAGTTCCATTTGAGCTTTCACCTTTCTAATTTTTTCTTTACATCACCGGTGACATCACCGTACTCTTCCTGAGTTGCCTGTCCCTTCTTCCCCAATGTATATATATATATATATATGTATACACATTGTGTATATTTATTTATTTATATATTTATATGTATACATGTGTGGGCGTCTACATGTACATGTGCAAACACTAATGCAGTTGAGACTTTTTAGATGTGGCTTATAGACCACTATGATCTCCTTCAGAGATCATAGTGGTCTATACTGAAACTTAACTCCAGATATCCAACCCCAATTATCCACAAGGGAAGCCTATTACCTTTGCATTTGCTCACTCTCCTTTCTGATCCACAGACCCAAAATATCTGCTGTCTTCAAATCATGTAACTCATTTGTACAGTTGTATTAATCCCAGCCCAACTCTTTCCAGAGTATGTATTGCTTGAAAACTGTTGCTCTGTTTCAGATCTGAGAAAAAATTTGATGGGCCTGAACATTTGTCTGAATTTGAATATCAACCAATCTGCACAAAGAATGCTGGTTTTGATAAAAGTGCCACAGAAGTATTATTTAAGCATCACAAACTGTGTGAGGGAGGAGGTCCACACATAAAAAAGAAGGAAATCTAAATGAAAATTTTCCAAAACAGTCTCTATACTTGTATGTCTCATTGACTGAGACAGACAGGGTCTAATACTTCATAATACTTAATTGTGCTTAGGGGATAGTACATATCAATCAGAACTGAGAAATATTAACCAGGCTTCATTCAAAGCATTGCTGAGAAGCAAATAAAATAAATATTATCTTATTTTTATGGATGAAAAAGTTGAAACCAAAAGAAATACTGGGAACAAGCCAGGACCAAGGCTACAGACAATCCAGCTCAAGAATCTTATCGTCCTTTCAGCAGAGCATGTTGCTTTATTGCAGTGGCAACTCCAAAATTACTTCAGTTGCAGTAGTTAGCACTTGGTAGACCTACAATGTAGGCAGGCACTTGGTGTCTTAGTTTAGAAACCATGCAGCAGAGTCCATCTGTTCTCATCACTATTTTTAAAGCAACTTGTCCAGACTCAGGCAGGAAATTAAAGGCAGAGGTGGATCTAATTTCTTGGAAGGCATTCACCTACCCAGATTCTTACCCCAGACTGCTTAGCTTCCTCAAAACACACCAAAATGTGGAAAAACAGATAAGAGACTTCATGTAAAAAATACCACATATATATGTTGCTTCCTCAGAGAACTTCATTCTTCCAATATGATCCACATGCTGTATGTTGTTTGCAGCAATGACCACTCCAGAATGACTGGTTGTAAATATCACATAATTTTTAAATCTCAGTTTAAGAGTGGTAAGAATATTTTTTGTAAAGTGTATCCTAAAGATAGTTCACTTTTCTGTAGCACTGAGTCATCAAGGAGTGGTAAAATGCATAGTAAAAAGCAAAATAATCTCATATTTGCAATTGCAAGTGCGAAAGTTCATCATGGTACTCTGCTCCTTTGATGACTTTTTCTGAAGTGCAATATGATCTGCTTTTGCTTCTTTCTTGCTTCATGAAATAGATTTCCCCCAAAAGAAAAGACATGGTTCATATCTTTACATTTACCACCTGTGTCGAATTTAAAAGACCTGCTAAACATAGCAAATGAGCAGGCAATACATTTCAGTTGTGCCCAGGAACTAAGCACAAAGGTTAGATGAGGAAATCACAGGTAATATTTTTGTCTGCTTATCGTCTGACCATAGATGTTGGGTTTTAAACTTTTTTTTGGTAGCTCTTAAGAACCATTACAAATTTTATTTCTTATATGTTATTGGAGAGTGTCTCTCCTGCTAATTCAAAAATCAGCTTTTCTTTGGACCTCTTCAATCCTTCTGACAGTTGTCTTTCAGCAGCTCTAGAAGCTAAAGTTCTAACTTGCCTCTAAGTTTCCCAACTAATTTTTATTTTTAAGGATTTTAAACTACTCCTAAACTTGGGCTTGACAAAACTAAAATCAACAGAAAATGGAAGCATTCTGCTCCAATAATTTTGAAGCAGTAAAAACCCATTTTTCTTCCTCCCTTTGAAATTGTAGAAAATTTGTATAAATAGTTAAGAAGTATTAAACCTCTCAACAGAAATATAATATTATGAACGCTTTCTTTTATTTTAGTCACACAGATAGGTTTGTATAAATGTTTTGTTCTGTTACTCTTTGATGGTTTAGCCCCTACAAAAAACCCCTAAAGCACAGATGAAATCATCCACATCCCCCAGACCCCTCAAAAATTAGCGAATAATCTACTACTGTTTTATTAAACAAGGTGGTAAAAAATGTATTAATTGCAGAACATCCTAGGAACTCAAAACCCTGTACAAGCATGTGTTCTCAGAACTGGATGATAGGTCTTGCCCAAAATTTTATTTGCTCTTAAATAAGAATGTATTATTCATGCAAAATGAAAAATTACTCATTCTGTTTAAATGAAAAGAACACTGATAGCTATTTCATGTTTCTTGCAGTCTGTTCCTAGAGGACTACTTCAATCCTAAAGGATCTATGTTCTTACCAAAGCTGTTCCCATGGGACAGAAAAGTAATCATTTCTAATACTTTACTTCAAATTACAGCATTTCAGTGATCATCACTCAAAAATCTGGAGCTGCCCATCAGCCAGCAGCCTCCTAATCACACATCACTTGTCATCACTTCCAGAGCAATCTGGACCACCCTATCCCTGTCCCTCACCCTGTTTTTACAGACCTCTTCCTTAGTCAGTCTTGTTTGAAGCAGCAGACTAGTTCCATTCAGATAGTCTGTTTGAATGGAAAAACCAAGAGTATTTGCTCTTTTGTCATCTTCCTTTGTCTTCTAATTTCAACCCATGTGCTCTTCAGAGCTCCCTTATGTACATTTACAAATGGAATTGAAGAAATGGGACTCAACCAAAAAAACAATCACAGGCTCCTCTTCTTTTCCTCCCATCCCTTTACCTCTAGTATTGAACTGCCATCGTTTTTTCTAATTGTTTTCAAAAAGGGAACAGGAAACAAGCTGATCAACATTTTAATACACGACTTGGCTCACACATGATTATTTTTTATACTGAGACACTCTGAGCAAAGATCAGACCTCCTGCTGTAAGAACACTCTAACATGGGTGGTTCAGTCCCTGTGAAAATAATAACATCTCCAAATTGGTCAGACACAAGCAGTGGCACATCCTTAAAGCATTGTCTCCCATGTTCTCATTTACACAGAAAAGCTCATTTGTCTAAGAGGATTACTTGTTTTCATAGCAAAACATCCCAAAGTGCATCAGTTACAGTGGGAACAACTCAGCTCTGTGAACTGCTTAACCATACTGCTAACATAACCAAGGCTGCATTAAGTGAAATATATATTATTGCTGATGTAAAACCAACTTTCATAACTATAGTCTTTTCCTTAGGTGCCATTAAAAAAAAAATCAAATCTGTGCTACAGCAAGTCTACCAAAGCCTAAACTGACTAGTTTCAGATGCAGAAAAATAGATCTAGCATAAATACATAAATATGACAATTGTAAACATGAATTAATTTCCATGAAAGCAAAAAAAAATCAAAAGGCAGGGAAATATTTTTAAGAAATGTATTCTTCCTATTGCATTTCAGAATGAGAAGTTTGGACAGTATACTCCTAAAACATTATGAGAATCTCCGGCATAATGAACAGATGAAAGCTCAAAAATTCTCTGCCCTTTCATAGGGCACAAGCTGCAGCAATGCACATGTTCTGCTTCTTCCAGTGTACCAGATGCAAATTCAAAAGCAGCACACACAACTGAATATTTGTGCCAGTTTAAACCTTGGCTTGCGTTCAAAGATGACAAATTAATGCCAACATTTTACTCATGTGAAACCCACTCATTACACCTTGCACTGAGACCACCAGTGGAGCCACCATTTGGACATGATTATGCCAACCCACCCATCCTTATGTTTCTACATGTGAACGTTCCTGAACATCATGGAATAATGAATGTTCTAAGGCTGGGGTAAATTGTGTGTTTCAAAACCATTTGTGAATCAAAACCATTCATGAAAAGATACCATGTACATGCCTCACAGCTTGCCTGCTTTCTCTCAGACTTCTCTTTCCATCCTAGGAATATGAACTGCTCTACCTCATGCCCCACAGTGTCTTTCTGCATAAAGTCTCTCAGTCCATAGCTTGCCTTTCTTCTCTTAGTCTCTCTTCTTGCTTTCCACTATCTATTTTTCAGAACACACAAAAAGAGCTGTAGTATAAGTGTGACATATATGGAATTCTAAAAATAAATTGTAACCTCAACTGGTTCTCTAGCAATTTCATAGTGGTAAAAAAACCCACTACAATGTATTTAATTTTACTGAGGTTTGAGTTTGTGTTTTAAATCAGTTTCTGAAAAAAGATTAATTGTGTCATGGCCTTTTTTGAGCAAAACAATGTATTACATCAAAGACAAAACACTGAATATTTAAATTTTTCAAGGTGTCCTGTTTTGTTTTTTTCATGAAAGAAAAAGACATTTTTTTTCTCAACATTTTTTGCCAAGTCCAAATGTATACGGACAATACCAGCTGAAGGTACAAGCCAGATTTGTGGGGATAGGCATTCCCTCTACTGTACTGTTACTTCTAACAGCTGTTTTGGTGATGAGGAGCCAAAGCTCACTCATGGAAAATACGAGTTCAGCAGTTTATAATCCTAAATCTAGGACATTTTCCCCACATGAATAAACTGCACCAAAAAAAAAACAAAAAAAGGCCAAAAAAAAAAAAAAGAAAAAAACGCCCAGAGAACATCCCAATCATATTCCAAAGCAAAGCAAAACAAAACAAAAATGACTTACTGTCTTCTTCAACATTTTGACGGCGTAAGGTTTCTGGGTCCCTTTCTGCCTGCATCTGTAGACAATGGATGTAGCCCCACTAAATTTAAAATAATAAAAAAAAAAAAAGGAAGAATAGTTGGGTTGTACATACAACTCTTCGAATCTGTCAACAAACAGAGTTGCCTACATTTTCTATTCCTCCCAGTTTGGGCAAAACTATCTCATTCTTCCCCACAGATGCAATAAACCCTCCCCCCCAAAATCCAAGAAGTGTCAAACCCCCTCTGTATTCAACCAGAGCACTTCAGCAGTCACTCAGCCAACAGAAGTTGCAAGAGTTTATCATCCTTCTTGGCCACACTTTTCTGTCTCATGGCTATCCCTGGATGTTTCCTTGGATCATCAAGTCACCACATCTTGTCTTTGTTAAGGCAACACACCTGCAACAATAACTTATATTGGGGGGCCTGCTCACTAATTGCTGATGACAGCAATGGTGAAACAGAAAATTTTTGTGCTGCTCCTTGCCCACTGGACCAAAAGACCAAATTTGGCACCAAATGGAGGAGGCAGCATTTTAGGTTAATTCAGTGGAAACTGGTGGGACTTGTTCACAGCAAAAGTGGACTGAGCTTACATCTTCCCTTTGCCTTCAAGGTGTAACTATTTGAATGTGAGAAGTCTGAGCACTCATAAAATTATGGCTCTGCTGGATGGAAGGCACTTCTCTGAGTGCATAGCTGGGGCAGATGGTCTCCAGAGGGAGGGTCAACTTGCTGTGCTTTACTTGTTGCTGTCAAGGAAGGGCTCTGTACTCTGTGAATTACTCAAAGAGAGGTTGCAACCTCTGGTAAGCTCATACTAGTTACAAACCATCCAGATACCTTTGTTTTCTACCCAAAATAGATGCACTGAAGCACCATCACTGAACTTAAGGGATTTTTGGAAACTTCCTTCCCTCAGACCCACTCCAAGACTCAGCACTTCTAAGTAGCTGCATATTTTTAAGGTAGAGAGGACTGCAGTTGTCATATATGACCTCCTGAACAACCACTGCAGAACCACAGCAGCTCTGCAGTGAGCGAATTCTCATGCATACCAGATGCCAAATTGCACTGCAGATCCCTCTGAACCAGGAGGAACCCATCTCAGTGAGTCTACAGGAGACAACCATCACAGGAACAGCTTTTTTTTAAACAGTAGAATGGCATAGCCATGCTTGACCATAAGAATAAAGCTGTGGCACAAGGTTCATTATTATAGGTGCTGTACAAAACTGCCATGGGTGCCCTGCTCTTCTCCCTCCTCAGCATGGGCCAGACAGGTGCCATACAATGCTCTGAGTAGTAGGCACATCCCTATTTTCATAATTTCACGAGTGGGCACAAGAACTAGCAATTGATTGAGAAGATTTATTTCAGAAAGCCCTCTTCATAAGGAAAGGTCACCTGTGGCAAGGGTTGTGAAGCTCAGTCATCTGAGGGCTTCTCTGCACCACATATAAATTAATCTTCACTTCATCTCAAATGCTAAAATGATTTGTCTCTCTTCAAAGTATATTGATAAACGTGTGGGAGTACTGAGAGCTTCAGTGACTCCCAGAATCATTACATGAATTTAATTAGATCTCCTCTCCTTAGCCAAGTCTCCAAAGACTCTATTTAGCAAGAAGAAAAAAATATATCACATTAAAAAAACCCCTCACATCTTTTAAATACAACAAAACTGTTAAAAGACAGAATTCTAAGAATGTGCTGTGGTAAGGTTTATATCTCCAGTACTTCACTGCAAGATTGCAATGGGGAAGTCAGTGCATAAACTGCAAATCATTGATGTACCCTGCTTCACATACACAAGTGCAGTGCAAACATTAAACTCATTAGTTTACGTATGTCCTTACAAAGTAGGCAGCAAACTTTCTAGAAATTATTGTATTTGGGTGAGGGCAGAATTAGAGAAGCTATTTAACAGCAGTTATTAATCCAAATAAATAGATGATAATTCCTGTACAAATCTCTCAATGCTCACTGCTGCTGTGGCAATGGAAGGCAGACCCTGTCTCTGAGTAAAACTACTGTCAGTGTTTGCATCACCAGTTTGCAAAGTCTTCCATGTAAATAAGAGCCTAGCCAGTAGAACACCCCAGATTATTTCATTGTCTTAGTGATGAGATGGACATCTCCACCAGTAAGGGAAGATAACATCACTCCACCTTTTACAGCTCATTTGACTGTACCCAAACCTGGAAGACAGGCAGCATAATGCTTGAAAGAGATGTCAGACAGTCCAGAGAGATACTCCAGTCGAGCAGTTTGACATCAGGCTCATTAGCCAATATTCAAAACACAAACAAAGGTGCTACTTTGGAATTTACTCTCTATTGTACAGATTTCTGCATATCCCTGCAGTCCTAATTTGGTGTAAAATTGATGAAAAGGCATGGCAAGACTTGGGAACACTTTGAAAGATTTTGCTTCTGATTTACATGGCTTTGCCCAGCTCTCACAAGCCAGGAGAGAAAACACCTAACATTAGCTAACAACCAGCTCTACTCCTCTTCCAGGCAGAAACCAGTACAGGAAATCAGGAACAGGATGGCAACCTGCTCACACCACATCTGAGGCTAAACAGCAGAGAGCCATTACTAGTATGGACCTCATTCCTTGCTTCTTTGTTGGTAAGAGGGTATCTTCACTCCTTCACAGTTTAAATTAAAAAAAAAAGGTAGTGAGGAGTGGGGAGGAGTGGTGCAAGCAGAAATCAGCCTATGGAACTAAATGTAAATGCACAAACAGAACAGCCTCATGTAAATCTAGGTGGTTTGCTTCGCTTCTTTCTTTGGCTTCCTGCTGGAGCTTTCTGCTGAATCAGCACATGCAGCTTTCCCAAGTGACTGTGTGACTTGGAAGGTCACCAACTGGAGCAATTCAAGCTTTCATCATCAAAGAGCAGTGGGAAGATACAGCTGCAAGATTCTCATGTGAACCTGAAACATAGAGAGCTGCTAATTGTAACCTCTTGCCCCTACCCTAAGGTTTTCGCAACATCAAACCTTGACTGCCCTCACTCTGCTTCTGAGAACCTCCTCTCGAATTTGCATCAACTGAAAACTTCATTGATACGTTTTGTCAGACTGCACAAATATACAGAAACCAGGAATCCTTGTGGCAACATGCCACTTCCCTTGGAAATGGAATTCATGGCCAGACGGGCAGACCTGCACCCTCCCAATGTCCCAATTTCTGCAAGGGGTGTTTGCCTTGTCTGAATGATAAATGTAAATACTGCTATAGAAAGAGATCACCCATACCTCAACAGTTAAGGCACTTATTTGATAAGAAGCAGACAACAGCACTAGAGACTATTTAATCCAACCCCATTACCAGTTTAAATGGGAGTAACTGAGAGGGCCCTGAGCTCAAACAGCTGATAATCACTTGCAGAAGTGCATTGCAGAGTATGACTGACAAGTGACCCATTACCAGTTCAGGCTAGAAACCAGAAATCATGTCTCCCATATTCCACAAGATTACTCACTGTACTGTGTTTGCCTATTCAGAATTGATTCGGTCAGCTTTTGCCTCTTTGCATTTAGTGAATATAGACAAATATGTATGTCTTTGCATACACATTTATATGCAATACTTATTATATATATTTGTGTTTGTTAGTGTGCCTTTATTTACTTCTAACCAAAATTAGGCTTAAAGGAGCATCCAGCAGCAGGTTTTTTGTACCTTTGCCTGGAAACAGTCTACCTGAATTCAAAACATAATTTATTTGAAATTGGCTGGAATAAGAAAAATAGGGGGGAAAAAAAAGGAAAAATAAAAAAAAAGGAAAGGAAAAAAGGCATATTCTTGTATTCTTGGAATGTGTAGTTGGCAAAGTTAGAGAATAGTAATTAGAACTGTTGAAAATATTGCCATTCTCCTTTACTCTCATATGTATTTCAGTCTGAAAATCTGCTTAATGATTCTGTTATTCTGTTAAAGATTTACCTTTAAAAGCCCAGGTAAAACTGTGATCATGCTAAAGAAGAAAAGCAACAACAAGAGATCATTTTATTGTGAAGATGCCAAATGCTTTACTACAAAAACGTGTTTATATATATATATATATATATATATATATATATATATATATATCAGAAAAAACCTGAAAATCATTTATACATCTTTACTGTTTGGTCATAATGCACAACAAAAACACTCACTTTTGTGATGCCACCTACAATGCAGACAATGACAACACATAAGAAAGCTCATTATGTCCTGTGCATGGAATGTATCACAGCTGAGGCACACACAGCCCAGTATGAGCACAGAAATAGTTTTCCTGAAGTACAATACTTCGGTGGCATGATAAATTCACTCACCAATTAGTCAACCAATGTAATTGTGTGCCACTAAATACATCAAAATAGACTCAAATTCAATAACTGGCCTCTGCATGTGTGTTGTCCAAGACATGATTTTGAAAAGTGCTTTTAAAATATTTAAAATGTGCAAAACCTTCTGCCTCCTCCCCACCCACCTCTCAATATACAATTGGTTGAGCATTCTGGATTATTTTTATTACTATTCTCAGGTGTTACTGAGCTTTCAATGATTTCAGAAGGACACTGTTTCAAAGGCTGGGCAGCAGCACCACAGTGCCCTGCCTGTGCTAAGGATTCCAGACAGCAAGACTGAGAGAAAAGGCATGGCCACACCTCAAATAGATGCAGTCAAAAATAGTGGTGTCAGCACAGATGGAAGGAAGGCAGGGACGCCCAGAAGGGGTGTTAAAGAGGTGGAAGTGATCAGCAGAATTTGCACATAAAGGAGAAAATGGAATTTGCAGGATACTGCAGTGGAGCCTGGCAGAGAGAGAAAATACAAAACAAGAAAAGACAGAATTTGACCCAGTTTGGAAAAAGCCTTTTTTCCCTGAAACCCACAAAAAGCTTCTGCCTCTGAAACAGGAAAGGCAACCAAAATGAAATGCAGCCATATGTTTACTTGGCCACAGGTAGGTAGTAAAAGTAAATTCCTCGAGCTGCAGCTTTTAAAATAAAATAACACTCATTGGCAGTAATTTCACTGTAAGAAGGAAATTCAATCTTTTCAAAAGTAGGTCAGCATTTCCACACCATGCCCACTCATCCTGGTTTTTATATTGCCTTTGAATCAACTCATTACAAATACAGTCCTCAATGTAATCTCCTGTAAATTTCATTTGGATTAAATTCCTTAAGTTCTGGATTGATTTTTAAAAAATAAATTAGTTTGTGCTTCATGTAGTCAAGCAATAATTACACAATCAAGTTTGTCCAATAAAAACACTCGAAAGAATGATCGGTCCCAAGAAAACTGTACCTGGTACAAAGCCATGGAAATCTGTGCTGCCAAAACTGCAGCAAGAGATCAAAGTCCATTATAGGTTTCCACAAAGAATACTGATTTCTTTGTACAGTTTACAGAAGTATAAAGTTAAAGCTCATTAATTTATGTTTTCTTAGATGTACACTAAAGGAGCAAAATGGATTTATAGAAATGAAATTACTATTCCTGGATTCCAAATTAAACATCCTGTTGAAGTTAAAAGACTGGACAGAAAAAACAAAACTAAACAAAACAAAAATGCTCAAAACCAAACAAAAATAAAAAGAAAAAAGAAAATCTATTAACAGAGAGGAACTAAAATTAGTTTAAGAGTGCATATTCCATGGTATTACTAATATTGCCTTCACTTTAAAAAATACATTCATGTAAATTTGGAAATTCTCACAACTTGTATTTCATGGAGAAGTATCAAACAAACTCTTTTTACAGTAATCTAACAAACAATTCTTAAATTATTCAAATCTAATCTCAAAGCTTCTTCTAAATATCAATATCTACATATACAGGGCTTGCAGGCAATTGCAAACCACTGCAGCCATGCCTTTTCTCTCATTATTTCATGACTTGTAAACAGAATAGAAAATTTCACAAAACATATATCACTTAGGAGCAGCAAAAAGCCTTGGATTCCCACATACTATGAGGAATACAACAGATCTTTAATGAAGGCAAGGTTAGTGGGAAAAATGTGCATGGTTCTGAAAAGAAAATCTAATTCCAGAAATTGTGTTCCAGAGTTCTGGATGGTTTGATTTTTAGAATGCTGGGTAGATTTTCCAATATTTGAGGTGAAAAGATTTTTCAGTTTTCAGCAATTGTTTAGACTGGCCTACAAAGGCAATGCAATAGTTCAAAAAGATATTTTTTATATTCAGCCTTCACTGCACTCAGCAGATAAAAGGATCCTTAGATAAGCACAACAAAGGACCTACACCATTTAAAAAAAAAAAAAAAACCAAAGTGTAATCAAACTAGTGCTTGCCAATATTCTTGAACCGGTAAATGCCACAGATAACAGTTTGTAGAACTATAATTCCTTAGACTTGGGGTAGGTTGGCTGCTGAAACACACTAATTAAAATGCAGCAGTTCAAGCCGCTCCTGCTGCGGTGGCTGGACCAGCAGCTGATAATTCCTGCTGGGACTGCAACAGCACATTTCTAACTTGCTTCCAAAGAAGCTCCTCCCTCAAGTACTGCAGGAAGTTTATAGAGGACCTCTATAAAGTTTTAAAAGGACCTCTATCCCACAGAGAGGCTAAAAACATTGTTGCACCTGGATGTAGTGTCTTTTTAAACTGCAGGAATTCAGTTAGGTGTCATGTTAGCTTCATCCATATTAACATTAGATAATTTCCCCCACATCAAATGCTAAAATTTTAAAATTTCAGTTTAGCTGGTAGGTAAATATTGAGAACAAGAAACAGACGCCCAGCACTGGATCTGACTTTACTGCCTTTCACTGAGTGGAAATAGCTGACACAAACTTACAAGCAAGCATCATTATCTCAAGCATTAATTTGAAAAGCACAGAAGCAAAACTCAAACTACACCGATATCCAGAGGTTACTGCTGTACTCTGTGTACATTGTTCCTTTGAGGTAACCCACCTTTCTGAAATCTGGGTTCCTAAAGAAAACTTCAGGTATGATTGCTGAAATGCAGATACAAGGTGAAGATTAGAGCACTTCCTACAGCACTGTGTAAGGAAAAATGTATAGAAAATACATTCACCATTTCTTCTTTTTCCTTTACCCCCTCTAATATGTTGGGTCAGACCACACATTGGAATAGCTGTATTTCTTAAAACACATGGGAGTTCTCTGTAGGAAACCCAAAGTTTTTCCTACCAAGTCTGAAAAAGGTCACTTAAACTTGGCTGAAAGTGAACTTATAATAGTGGGGAGTTCACCTTTCAACATGAAGCCCAAGAGACCCAGAAACTGATCTTGAATATTTTATATGGAAATTAGTTTTCCTTGAGAATGCTGGGGTTTTTTTCAGGGACTGGAGAGTTCTTAGCTACTCATGTCTAAGCAGTTCAATAAAATGAGGAGAGCAAAGAAAAGAAGGTGGAAGAGTGGACCAAGGGAAGCAATGCCTGCTTTTGTCCTCAGTACTGAACTCTGGACACAGTGAGGCAAATCTTCAAACACATGTGCTAACACTACGTGTGCAAGATGCAGCCCCAGATCCTTGGGCTGGCAGTCTCAAGGGTTTTCTCACAGTCACAGACAGATGCTGTGCACAGATATGATGTGACTGGCCTCCCTAAGTCCCACACAAAGCCTGACAACTGAAACTATCCAGTGAACTCACCCCTCCTGGGAATACATGTGCCTTGTTTAAAACACCATTTCAACCCCTATCTCATAAGCAGCACTTTTCTCCCCTCCTCTTAGAAGATCCTAATGAAGAATAAACATTATTTATTTAAACTTTATGAAGAGTGCATGTGAGGAGAAAAGAGTGCTGAGCAGTAAAAACTCTGTAAAACCTTCTGTGTTACAAGACTTCCTTCCTGGGCCATTGCAGAATTACCTGTCTGGTTTATTTTCCTGGTGACGTATTCCTTCACCAGGAAGTATTTTGAACAGTCTGTACTATGAGCAGGTGTCAACACCATTGATTACTGCTCTTCATGACGATCTCCAGATGCAGGAGGCAGACTGGACTTCACACTAAATGACAACATGTGGCAGCAAGAACATCCTTGCATGTTGACTCTGGTTCCCCTGGTCAAGGGAAGGGAAGCAGTGAGGAGGTTGTGGACTTCTAACAGCTTGCTCTGTACATAGGAAAGTCATCAACTGAAATCAGATAGGGAAAAATTAATGATTGTTCATGTCCGCACATTTAAATCTAGCTTTGAACAACTTTACAACCAGAAAGTTTAGGTCTAGGCATTTTATGGATTCTGAAAGCTCATGTGCCCATATGTCTCCTTAATAGCCCTCTTTTTGGTAAGTTACAAAGTTTTCTCCTTGGAGGTTTGTGTTGTGCTGAATCATCAATTCCTATGCAATGTCTTCTCTGAAATAAATAGCTTTTGCCAAGAAGTTTATGTTCAGTGGCAGCCCAGAATCCCTTAGCACAAGACAACAAAGAAAATTTTAATATATCACAGATTCAAAAGTTCTTGGGCTCTTTTTAGCTACTACGTATGTTTTCTTCTTTAAACCTCGTGGGACAGACATTTCGAATCATAAGCTATAAGACTGAAAGCCAGGCAATGCAAAATAATTTGGAGGAATACATAATATTTGACAATGCTCCCTAAATTAACAAGTTCTATAACATTTTGCATGTATCCTGATCATATTTAAATATATTCTCAAAAGATAAATTGAAATAGCTAATTTTCCATAATAGAGAGGTCTTTTAATCTGCTGCTTCTAGTATTTTTGTCACAGTCAGAAAACCCAACTTGCCATTATCATAAAAATTACCTGCAGACTTAACACAGTTGTAATTTTACAGCATTAACAAAGCTACAGAAGAAAGATGAAGCTGCAGCAGAGAGACACTGTTATTACTTATAAAACAGAAGAAAATTCTTGAGGAAGTGAAGAAGGCATATACTCTGGTGCAGGTTTTGCCAGTGAGAGTTATTTACATCAGAGTGAAAGAGTTTGCAATCCTGCCAGGCCTGGCAGCCAAATGTCAACTTACTGCAGGCACAGGGCAGGTTTCAAGTCACATCCTGTCTTCCACCAGCTTTTCCAGCTTCAGTTCTGGTGGGTGGGAAACACCTAAGCAGGTCTAGATCTTCCTTAAATGCTGGATTTATTCTACATGCACAAAGGAAAAATGCTGCATCAGTCCTTAGCTAACCCGCAGAGGCCATGGAGCCCTCCCTACCACCCACCCTGGTGCCAGGCACAAAATGGACAGAAGCTGGGATCACCACACCTTCCTTGTCAGGGACACATGCACACCATGCAGGACGGCAGTGGGATGTGCTTGGCAGCCAGGTACCCTCCAGGTTTGCTCCATCACTTCCAGTTCATCAACAGGATTGGGGAGAAGCTGGTGGGGAGCTTGACAGAAAACATTTTGGGTGTAGATGAGGACAGAGAGATCCCTTACCAGTTTGTAACATGGGCATAACTGACTTGGCTTGGAGAAATTAATTTTAATTATTGACAATTATAAACAGAGTGGAAATTGGAAAGAAAAATCTTACATTAAGACATATTTTAACCATATTATCTTCAGGCTTGGAAGGGAATGTTGTGCTTTTGTGGTGTAATTATTTATGTGGCTTTTACTTTACACTGGTGTGTACAGCCAAGTCTAAGAACATTAATGCTGCACAAAGCACTGTGTGACAGGAAGGATCTCTCCCTCTCCACTGCACAGGCAGAACCCACAGAAACATGGATCAAGCAGCCACTGTGAGGGTGGGGTTAGGCCATGAGCTCTGGAGACAGAAAGTCAGATGGGATATCCCAAATGTGTCTCAGGGAAAGAAAAATACCAACAACAAAACCACCACCACCAAAAAACCCCAATCAACCAAAGGCAGTGGGAGCCTGTGTATTCAGTTCCAGACGTTCTGTCTTTCTGCTGGTCAGCAACAGTTCTGCTCATTTGTCTTTCTTGCTCTGTTGCTGCTCTTTCTGGTTTTGGTGCTTTATAACTGGACCACCAGAGACCATGGAATTTGAAAATGGAATGTTTGGTGCTGCTTGTGTGAGATGGAAGGCAGCAGGCACAACAAAGGCCATGGCTAGTAAGATGGGAGGCCCTGGGAAGGATTTTGTGAAGCAGAGAACTGTTACAAGACAAGAAGAACAGAATTTACAGAATCAAAAGCCTCTCATGGTAAAGCTGTGGCCTGTGTCTGTTTTCACTCTCTGAGTTTTGTCTGTCCTTAGCTGCAGCCATGCATTGTGAGCATCTGGCCTGGCTGAGCTCATCTGGCCTTAGAGCTACTGGGGCAGAAGCAGCAGAGGGGACCAGCAGTGACTCCCAGCCACTTGTGGCACCGAAGCTGGGAGTTCCCTTGGCCAATGGCAGTGCTGGCCTTCAGCACAAGCCCCTCTGGGGACCATCTTCAGCAGCTTCAGTTCAAAGTTAAGGGGCAGCCTCTTGCAAAGCCTCCCTCCAGCTCCATCCTCAGAAGCCTTCGTGCCAGCAGGGACTCTCATTTCTGGAGCTGTGAAGGTTAACAGGTCTGAGCTTACAGGCTGCAGGTTTGACTGGCTTGCCCACATTCCCTCCTGAAAAGCATTTATGTAATTGGCAATTTTGCATATTCACATCTTCTCCAGATCTTCCTGCAATATAAAGATGGAAGTTTTGACTTCCAGAGCTAAATGAAGCTTCCAGTTCTTTCTGCATCAAACACAAGACCAACTTCCAAACCTGAAGCTCTTTCTTTCCTGCATCAGCTGTCAACTGGAGCAATGATCTATATAAAAAAACCCATTTGTAGTAGGAATGTTTCTGTGTTTCAGTTCAACAGACTCCACCTAGTCCATACCCCCCTGCCCACAGTCACTCTGAAGGATTGCAGGTGAAAACTATGATATTTATCCCAGAAGTTTCCTTCTTCAGCACTCTGTGATGAACATCAGCAACTCACCAGTGAGATCAGGACTATGACTCAAATATTCTCACACCTGCTCTAATTGAGCCTTTAACATTTTAAAGATCACAGCTTTTTCCACACAATGTTTTCTTTGCTAGTATTCCCTACTAATTAAAGTACTTAACTTTTTCTTCTTTTTTCTCTTCCCCCACCACAGTTTTAAAATATATTGTTTAGTAAATTTAATCAATAATGCTCCTTCATCTTCCTCCCTTCTCAGTGCTACTGCTGTATATTCTGTTCCATGTTGCCTTTTCCACTTTTCCTCAAATTCCAATTTTCACCATTCTATACTTTGACAGCTCCTAGTGCAGCTAAACCCACAAAAACTTCAACAGGGTGCTAAGAAGCTCTTCTCAATAACCATGATCACAGACCATCTTGGTAATCAATCACACACATCTGCAGGCAAGTATACACTGAATTGTTATCATGACAGTGTCACCACTACTCAATCCTTGAAATTAGGGAACTCTTTTTACAAAGTATGAAATTGTTGTTTTCAAGGAGAAGATTCCAGAACTTCTCATCCATGAACATCTTTCATCTTTTCTTTAAGTTCTCTACACCAGTCACTGATCAAGCCAGTATTTAATTGGTGATGCTAGAGAAAGGCTGCAGTTTCCATTTTTAAAAGACTGAAGCTTTTTAGCTGTCAGAGCTGATCTGTAACCCAGGATAATGAATCTCATCTAATCAGTGTCAGTCTGTACTCCTCTACATAATGAACTCAGCACAGTAGTGTATTAGATGTTTGGAAATAAATTACTTTCATGTTCTCCCCATCATACTGAAACTTCAAGCACAGCGTACTCCAATGACATACCTGAAGAAGTACATCCATACTCCATTTTCAAACTCCACTGGAATGTAAAACAGAATTGCATTTGGGCAGTATTTAAGACATAGTCTGTACAGGATTCACATGTTCACATTTTAAAAAGATGTTTTTAGAAAGGCTCTGTGTGTATCTTCAGAGAGTGACTTAAAACCAAACATGCAGTCATGTTTACGTCCACATGCTGGTTCATGGTCTTGTAAGCCCTAAGTGGGTGACAGCCATGCAGATCAGCTGTCCATGCCAGCAGGCGGCTGCTGTGTGCCCTGCACAGCAGCGGTGCCCAGCACGCACAGCTCCAGCACCCACATCAGCCACAGCCTGGCAAAAGAGCTGTGGTGCGCCAGCAGGGTGGAAGGTTTGGACATGGAACTTCAAAGGCCTTCTGTTTTCAGACGGGCAGGTTCTTCTATGTCCCTCAGCAGCACTTGTGTGCCCACATCTCTTTTTGTGTCCCTGGAACCACATTTGTGTCCCTGCATTCTCCTTTCTGTCCACACACATCACTTTTTGTCCCTGAACACCCCTTTGTATTCCTGCACACTACTCTGTGTCCCTGGAAACTGCTCTGTGTCCCTGCACATTATTCTGCATTTCTGCAAATTCCTCTGTGTCCCTGCACATGACTTTGTGTCCCTACACATTGCTCTACGTCCCTGCACACCCCCTTGTGCCCTGCAGATTGGGTGTCACATTGACATGCAGAACATTCTCCTCTGAATAAGAACCAAGCTGTGAAATGCATCTGTAATTCTGCCAATCCTTCCCACAATTTCTTTTCTTGATGCTTGGAGAGAAACACCTTTAATGAGATCTCATGTGAAGTCCAACTCTGCAAACTTAGCTTTACAGGTGTCAAAATTCTGCTTCTGGGCTTGTGCCTGATTTGGAAAAATTTATCCAAAATCAAAGAATTCTTTTTTGAAGATTTAACTGCAGATGCACAAGACTCGTGGTGATCAATCACCATCCCTCTAGATGCTCAGTTATGCTTTAACAGTATTTTCTGTACAAATACCTAGTTATTAATGTTTTTATCTGACAAAATAGCACAAAGTTTTACCCTATATCAATATCATGTAGAATTTTAGTAATGTTGGGCTCTCAAAAGCTTTGGCTCCAAAAAGAGAGGCAAAATATAATATAATTTTAATTCTTTGATACATCCTAAAAAATATATCTTTAGGCTCACTATTTTGCTGAGAAGTTTATCCACATTTTTATTTAGAAGAAATGTTTTCCTTATTCCTCCATCTGAACCTTTGAAAATCTTTTTTTTTTCCCATTGACTTAGTAACACACCTGTTGGCAGTGGCAATTTGTGAATTCTGTTAAGAATCAAATGCTTTTAATGAAACAACACTGAAGCTTGTTAAACTTTGAATACACTCTCAAACTTCAGAAACAGTTGCAAGCACAAGGGTCACAGCAAATCTGTGTAGGACGATGTCCTGTCTTGACAAAAGACCAGGTGGTTATGGCTGACAAAATATTAATGATTGTGGCTAAACAGTCCTTGCCCTTTAGAGAGAGCTTTTTGTCTTGCATTTTCTATAAATGCTCGAGGATCCAAAAGGTTTGTGCACAGTGCAGACTGTCGCCTCAAGGACACTGGAGGCTCTGTCCCACTCTGTCCCTTTCCTTCTGCAGCTTTCTGGTTTTTCCATTCACCCACTGGAGCTATCAGCATTTCTGTAATTTATTGCCCATGATCTGTGTTGCTCTCCCCTTAGCACTTCTGCATTTTGGGAAGATTGAGCACT